TCACCTTTATCCCCAGCGAACGTGGAGGGACCTCTGGGTTGTATATATGCACTAGCTAAAGAGAGCACTGGACTATGATTTTGGAGACCAGGGTTCAAATCCCTTGGGCAAGTCACACTCTCTCAGCCAAGGAACCCTTAGGGCCGCCACAATTTGGAAATGACTTGAAGGCACTCAACAATACTGTACAAAATATTCTTCTTGTGGCTTCCAAGGTGATATCACCTATTACACTTAAGTGTGAAGTTCCCTGGAAATGAGTGCTTCAAATTATTATTATTTTCACTGCCTAGTGGTGCAGGCGAATAATTTTACATTCTGAATTTAACAATTGTATATTATTCTGAATCAAATCATCTATATCAAGGGCCAAATTCAACTGCAGAGAAATTTGGGGGGCCCATACTTTTGTTTATAAAGTGTTTGCTGCTAGCAATAAGCCTCAGGAGAATGTCATGTTTGCATTTCCTTTGTTAGGCTGAGAGAGTGTGACTTCTTCAAGGCCATCCAGCGGGTTTTCAGGGCTGAGCAAGAATTTGAACATGTGAGATCCAGCATGGCATAGTGGTTTGAGTACTGGACTGCGACTCTGGATTCAATTCCCTGTTTGACCATGAAACCCAGTGGGTGACCTTGGGAGAGAGTCACACCCTCTCAGCCTCAGAGGAAACCTGGCCCAGAAAAATCCCACGAAAGGCTTGCCTTGAGGGCCTCACTTTGGTGCCAGGGCCAGAATCCCGTAGCCTGGAGCTAGGGGCAGCTAAAGCGGTGTGGATTTGTCCATTCTGCAGTGTGGATGCAAGGATCGGAGGGGAGGGAGGGCTAGATGGAAGAAGGGGCGGACTCCGGGGCTGTTTTGCAAACTTTTTTGCAAGCCGGAGAGAAGAGCTCCAGGGGCCTGGCTGCTTGGCTTGGCTTGGCTTGGCTTGGCTTGGCTTGGCTTGGCTTTGCCCAGGGGCTTCCTTGCCAGGGATGCCATCCCAGGAGGAAGGCTCTCTCCTCCGTCCCCTGAAGCTGATCGCCCTCCTCTGCGCCTCCTTGGCCCTGGCCTTGGATGCCGCCGCCTTAGGGAGCCCAGCCTGGGTCACTTCGGAGGCAGACTCCCTGGCCCTTTGGCAGGCCTGCAGCTGGAAGCAGGGAAGCGCAGGAGGAGGATGGCAGTGCCGCTCGGCCCTACGGACAGGTGAGCGCCACGCAACCAGCCAGGTGGAGGGCGGTGTGAGGTACTTATGTATGTATGTACACATATGTGTGTGTGATATATATATCACATATAGATAGACTGATGGGAGAGTGAGAGATACATTATATATAAATCAAGCTATATATATAATGTATCTCTCACTCTCCCATCAGTCTATCTATGTGTGTGTGTGTGTGTGTGTATATATATATATATATATATATATATATATATATATATATATATCACATATAGATAGATAGATTGATGGGAGTGTGAGAGATACATTATATCTATATGTGTGTGTGTGTGTGTGTGTGTATATATATATCACATATAGATAGATAGATTGATGGGAGTGTGAGAGATACATATTTTATATATCATTTCTATGCCGCCTTTCTCCCAGGAGGGACCCAAGGCGGCGGATCACAGATAAAGACAGTTACAATTACATTGGCATGGTTATATGTATATATGTGTGTGTATCGCTCTCTCTCTCTCTCTCTCACACACACACACACACACATATCATCTATCTATCTATCTATCTGAGAGATATGTGATATAATATGTATCTCTTTTTCTCA